AAAAAAAAAAAAAAAAAAAAAGCTCGACTCGGCCCACGAGCCGCCCATCGTGGGAGGCTTGTGGACCGAGCCGAGCTCGCCCATGACAAACGAGCAGAGCGACTGCTCGACTCATTTGTCAACGAGCCATGAGCTCGGCTCGGCTCGACTCGGCTCAGCCCTTTGCCCTCCCTAGGAGGATTGTTAGAAATGGTATATTAATTAGTGAAATATGTCAACTTTGAGTCCCAACTTTAGGGAGACCCGCACTTCCATTTTAACATGACCAAGCACATTCACGTCATGAGGTGATTAATGTTATATATTTATTTATCAAAAACCATTTAAAAGTGAACGAAGTGTTTGATGTAAAAATAAGCAACTTGAAACTATAAATTAGTGAAAAATTTGATTTATTGAAAATTGCCAAACACTTATCCCACATAGGAGTCTCGTTCGATTAGTGGTCCGGTACGGGTGGATTCTTGTACTATATTATCTTTTTTGACAAAATTTATTTAAAATTTTGAAGCAAAATGTAATTAATCAAATTTTTTGGTATTTAATGAAATTCATTTTTATTACCTTATCGGGTAGTTTTTTGTCTAGGGTCTGTTGACCGATGTAACAGACGTATGTTAGCAAACTTAACATACATAGTGTTTCATATTGAACAATGTTGTTTGTTCAAGTTTAAAGGTCTGCCTAAATAATCACGACTATTCTGAAAGGATTTAATGGATGTTCGAATAGCCACAAACGAGTCTATAAATAGCTTGTCTTGCTGTCAGAATAATTACATCATTTTCATTACAAACTTTTTTTTGCTTTGAATCTCATTTTCTCTCTCATTCTGATATTGTTTTTGAAGTGAAAATACTGCATTAAGTTCGTTGGAACTCTTACAAATTGTTGTATTGCTTCTGTAGATGATGAAATTCGTTCTATCTTAGGAATCTATTGTTAAACACATTTAGCAAAGGTGAAGACATCAAATTCGTTTTAAGGAAATATTGTGAAGTCGGTGGGCTCGAATTAATTTATTGATAACATTGTTACTCTGTGTAAATTACATTACGATAATTCTATCCGTGTTTCTATAGTCAAATTGTTCGAAAGAAAAATTTATACTCCAAAACCAATACAAAAAACAAATAATCGCTTAAAAATTAAAAACACAATCTCACGTAGAAGATTTGGGGAACTAGATTTGGATATGAAAATTAATTAAAGGGCTTTGTTAAGTATGCACTGAAGTTGACACCCTGATATGCAGACCCCCTCACAAGAGAAGAGCTCACAATTTTTATTTGTAGTGAACCCCCCTCTTGTGAGAAGATTTGGACTTCAGGGTGTCAATCCCGATGTTCAAATAGCAGAACACTTAATTAAAGCTAAAGCATATCCCGACTCTAATGGAACATTATTCAATTAATCGTCGGCAAGCAATGTCGTACTAGATTTGTCTGCGCTGAATCTTGAGCTTCCAAAGGCAACACGTCAGACTATGTCACCCAAACTACGTGGACGGTGCACTTGCTAATATTATACATATTTAGGGGTTACCAATTAGAAAAAAATTACCCAGTGATTGCATGTAACTAACAGCTGTGTCCAGATCAGCACTTTTCCGATTTTGGTGTTCTTGAATCACCTTTTGGCATATATTCTGCCGGTTTTTTAGGCCAGTACTTGCTCGCTCACTTTGCTTCAATTTGAGTAATCACACTTTATTTTAGGTAGAGATCGAAGGAAGTTGAATTGTTTGTGTAAAGGGATTGGTACTTTTTTTTTTGTAATCTATTGTCGATCACAAGGGACGTCTATTGTAGACCTCGAACTCAGATTTTGAGGTCAAACATCTATTATTTTATTATACTAGCTTAATCAAGAAATTAATAAGTTCTCAAAACAGTTTCCTTCCCAATTGAACAGTTTTTTTATATGTCTTGAAACAAGCAAAGTTTTACATAAGAAGTTGATTATTTATACTGAGAAAGCGATGGAATGATTGATTTGGTCACAATTTAGTATAGCAATTGCAAGCAGGGGGCGGAGTCAGCCCGTCGAAATAGGGGATTCCTAGAGTTGAAAGGATTGGGGAACCTACGGCTGCCCCCTTAAATTTTTTTTGAAACATTATATTTTAAAATAATGGAAGTTAGTACTTTGTGATCGTGAAATGAAATAAAGGAATATAAATTAATGTACATTATTAATAAAAAAAAATCAAGAAACGTATAAAAAAAAGTACTAATTTGTAATTTTTAGCAAAATCATACCTTATTACAAGCGTTCCTTTCGAATTTAAGTTTATGGATTGATAGGGTTTAAACTTTTTATTCATTTGAGGACAAAATGGTAAATACAAAAAAAAGAAATACCCGCTCCCTCCGCCCCTGATTGCAAGTGATCATCAAGTTGTCCTAAAATTGTGATAAAAAAACTCTTATTCGAAAGATATTATAATTCAAATAACACATTTATATACATTAAATTAGGGATGGTTGAACTAAAAAAATGTACATCCAAACTTCACGTCAACTACTTCATACAACGTGTTATCTAAAATATAACCTGGTGCAATAATAAATTTTTTAAATTGAAAACGAATATATTTTTCACTTTCCATTTTTTATTTGAAAAGCAACAATTCATTGCACACTGGCAATCGATGGGTTTAATTTGCAATTAATGTTTGATTATAATGTTAATTTACAGAAGAAATTACCAAATAAAAAATTATTTTCCATAAGTTTGTTAACTTACGTTCGTAGTCTTACTATTGAGAAAAATCTATAAATTCGTAATTATCGGCGGTGGCACAAAGTCCTATATAATTCCACAACTTGCCCCAAACTCATATTTACCACTACTAGTCCCCAGATCTCCACCGGCGCCGCCTAATGGACCCACCACCTCCCTTCGCCACCCCGACCTCACCTCATTCACATCCGCCGCTACCTTCCACCATCACCACAAAACTCCGCCTCATGTGTAGCTACGGTGGACACATTATTCCCCGCCCCAACAACAAGTCTACACTTTTCTACGCGGGCGGCGAGACCCGTATCGTCTCCCTTGACCGCCGCACCACAGCATCTTCCCTTTCTGCTCTCACATCCCACCTCTCCCGTACCCTCTATAACAATCGCTCCTTCACCCTCAAGTACCAATTACCCAACGAGGACTTTGACTCCTTAATTTCTGTTACGACAGATGAAGATTTGTTCAATATGCTCGAAGAACACGATCGGATTAATCACTCTTCTCCTATGCCGCCCCGTATTAGATTATTCCTCTTTCCTGCCAAACCCGAGTGCCTGGAGTCTTCCCTTCTCGATCCGAAATCGGAATCTTGGTTTTCTGACTCTTTGAAGAGTACACGGGTCCTGCAGAAAGGTGAGTCTGCGGATACGAGTTTGTTGATGGACCTGGGCCTTGTGGGTGAGTCCGATTTAGAAGCCCAATTGGAGAGTGGGAGCAACAGTGGCGGTAAGCACGGGGCCGAGTCATTGGTTTTGGAGACGAGTTCATCTTTTGGCTCCACTAGTTCTTCCATTTCAATGTCACATTTGCCGCCTATTGGGGTTGTTCACTGTGATGAGAATGGACTGAATTTGCAGGACAAGAAGATCCGAGTGCCATCATCGGCCTCAATTGAAAGGTACTTAATCACTGAATGCTGTAGTTATACTTGGTGTATAAATTTCACTACTTTTTTTTTCTATTGCTGGCTAAATGCTGAATATTAAATGTTTTGAGGTTATTTTTGTCATTGGTTTTGTTACTCCTTGCATTTTAGGAACCTGATAATGGTAACTTGCTGATTGCTTTGCCTTCTAACTTTAGCCAATCAAATGTTGATACTGCCATATCAAAAGTTCTTTAGCTCTTTGGAATTGGTGAAGTAATTAGATATCAAATTTTCATTTTCAAGATTCTTAGTATTAAACACAGAATTTAGATAATTGGATAAAAATGATTTGTTTCTGCCTTTTTAAGTCATTTTATCCCGTTTAGAAGGATCAGCAGCATATCAATGCGATAAATCAATGAATTGTGAAGACATATTTTTCAATGAGTTGGTGTTTATGGCTTTTACAGTGATAATAGTATTGGAAGCTCTGCTTATCAACTGAAAACTGGAATGTTTCAAGAGCCACTTATTCAAGTTACTCCAGGGACATTGCCGAACCCAGTCGAATCCGAAAGTATTATTTCTGCTGTAACGTCAGCAATTGAGACTCAGCAAACAACTCAGATACTTGGCCATTCATTATCTTACCATCCAGATGAAAATCAGCTCCAACCTGAGATGCAGTATATTCACGGAGCCGTTAATTACATACCACAATATGCTACAACCCCAAGTCCAATCTCACCTTATTATCCGGTGTATCAGATGCCAATTCACCAGCAGCAGCACATCATTTATCCACCTAATCAGTCATACCCTATATATTTAATGCCTGTAAGACCAACACAATATCATAATATGGCTGTGCAGTATAACTTTGTCGATGCTGCTAGTAGTGCTTTGAGTCGTCCTACTCTGCATCCAACTCAACCTGTTGCTCATACTACACAACATATAGCTGAATCATCAACAAAAGTTTGCATTAGTAGCCATGTTGCTGCAACACCAATTAGTAGATCTTCTAATCAGGGTCAAGAGTTGATTGGGCCTCCTGAGCCGCAGAATTCTTCTGAGTTAGTTGCACCTCCTTCAGCGGGCACTATGACTCATGACAATGAATTTGAGGATGATATTGCATACAACTCAATATACAAAACGCAACCTTCAGCACCTGTGTTGCCTCCTCTGTATGAAACCTTGACAAAGGGTGCAACTGTGTTGTTTTCAGAGTCTTCCGTCCAGCTACAGCCTAACACTGCTAAGCATCAGCATGCAATGCCTAATCAATGATGCTATTAATGAAGAAAATTTTGTAGGAGTACTCTCTCTCTCTCTCTCTCTTTTTGTGTGTGTGTGTGTATCTATCTATTTATATTGTTTATCAATTTCAAGTTGGTTTGGGGTTCATATTTAAATTATAAATTAGTAAGTCAACTGAATTTCATCACATGGATGAACACCCAAGATCTTGATGATTTTCTACCAGTGAAATGACTACTCTCTTAGAAACATTTGGTCAAGATTGTATTCAGAACTCAACAAATCACATTTTACTTGAAAAAGAGGTAAACAATTTTATCAATGTGGTAGATTACTACCCTCTCAATTTGATGAGAATTGATAATTATACGAGGTTAAAATACTTCCCACGATTTCTTTCTACCCCTTTATGAAGAAAACTACGTACTTTAGAATTTTAAAAAGACTTGAAAATTCTTGAAACATTTACTCTCATTTTCGTTGGCAGCCTTTCTATCCCAAGATGGACCAACAACCGATTGAACTATGTGTTTATTATTGTTTAAGCAAGAGAAATTACACATCACATTTGTGCACTTGTTTGTTCCTCGTCTCTTTGTTTAGAATTTTTTCACGTTCTAGAGATTGTGCCCCGACGAATCTTGTGAATGATCATAACCTGATTTTTGGATCAACTCCTAAGGCCATTAAACTTTAGGTTTCAATGTAAGAAAAATTCTCTTTTGTGCAAGTCTATAGCAGTTTCTAGGATCTGGTTGAGTTGATTTATCTCTGTTGCACACAGAGTTATTCAATCCTTCACAATATTGCATGTGAGCTTGTGCTTGCATAGAAGTCTCACATATATCAAGTGATAATGCAAAGCACTGGAATATTTCAGTGTTCAAATGTATTCAGTAGTTTCATCTGTAAGATAAAACTGAATGCCTTCACTTCTAAGAAATGAGATTAAGCATGAAACAAGATAATTTAGTGTGCAAAGTGAGGAACTTTGGTGTCATTTTTGAAGGGAGAGGAAGTTATTGAGGGTTTATCTTTTGTTATTTCAATCTTGACAAAACTATTCTAAGAGTGTCTTCAATGAACTGGTGATTTCTTGTCAATTTCTTGATGTTCTCTGCTAGGTGTGATTAAGTTTGACTAAACTGTGTACAAATAAGCTGTGTTTTGGACCATTTGTTTATTATTTCTCTAGGTTCTGTATTTCCTCTGTCTTCCTTCTTTATATGTACTTTAAGGATATGAGATTCCTAATTTTAAAGAATTGTTTGTGGATTCAACTTCAACATTTTGGATGATACCTTGAAATTGTTATTGATTAATCGAAGCTGTTCTATTTTCTATTTAATGCTTGTAATTTTTTTGGCATGTCCAAATTGTTGATATGTCAACTTCAAATTTTCTCCAGTTTTTTTAAATTCCGAAGTTCAATGTTTAGACTCTTATGTACGATATTTCATCCATTATTAAATGAATTATGCGATGAATGTCTTTCTTATAGATTCAAAGTTAATATCATAACAGCATCCAACTGAGTTTTGAGCCCAAAATCTTATGCCCTGGTTGATAGGGCAAGTTTTCCATGGAAAATGGAAAACTTTTTGCCATTTTTCACTTTTTAGAGTGTTTGATAGGAGACATTTTTCAGGTAATTAATTTTCCACATTTTATTGGTTTGCCACATTTTCTTGCTTTTTGAGGTAAATCAATTCCCACCACTTTGGTGGGAATTGGTTTTCTAGGCAGATAGCTTCTTTTTTTTTTCCCATTGGAAAAGAATTATATTCTCAATTGTAACAAATTATATCCCTTTAATGGATAATTTTCCACGGAAAAAAAAGTCGAACGAATACCAAAAGATCCAAAATTACAATATTTTTCAGGTGAAAAATTATATCAATCAAACACAATTAATTGACAATTCTCAGTAAAACAAATTCTAAACAATTCAACTCCATAGAATTCATTTTCTTTCCACTCAAATTTCATTCTTACAATCAAACGGACCCTTATCGTAATATAGGACTTGTTTGGGATTGCTTTTGCATTATTTAGTAGAAAGAGCTACCTAAAGAAGTTACGTAAGGCTAGCTTTCTCTAAAATGTATTCTAATTAGATAAAATATTTTCAAAAAATTATTTCCTATGTTCAAATGTAATTTCATAATCTCAAAAAGTATGTCAAACAGGCCATAATGTAATCATGATTATGATGCTGCTATGCGAAGGAATGAAGCTCTTCAGACTAGCAAAAGCTAGTAGACGCTGCCAATTCAAGGGCAATCGACCACCAAAATTGGCTTCACTGTCCAAAAATCGGAAAGAAATAACGTTCTTATATGCTTATAGCATCCTTCCTGTTGTGATGAATTGAATATGATTCGAAAGTATATAGCAACAAAAGGTGAGCAACATTAGTTGGGATAAGGGATAGGAATACAATAGAAACTCAAAACTGTGAAAGACTAGAAAGATATATAGCAATTAGTTGTGAGAACCATTTTTACTTAAAAAATTGCAAGTCAAACGTTAATTATTTTCTCAAGGGGAATTGAATTCAAGTTTCGCATTTAACTGTCTGGGAATTTTCAATATTTTAGTAGAAGATAAGTAACGTTATTTACAGTCGCTCATTATCGTCGTCGTCATACGCGACTTATATCTGATGATTAGTGATTTGATGTATTAATGTGATTATTTTTTATCATCTCATGCATCAAATTATTAATCGTCGTGTGTAAGTTAAGTAGGTCGACTATGATAATAAGCGATTGCATATGTGGTACAACTTTACGAGCAGAAGCGTTGACCGTGAGATCTAATTTGAGCACTAATTTATATGCACATGAACAACTTGTCGGTCCTAACCGATGTACCAGCGTAGTGCCCAATCACAATCCCAACCTCTCCGATATCATATAAATCCGCGAGACAATTCTCCCATATTTTCAATTTCTTACTCTTCCCTGTGCATAATTCCACGCTGAATAGATCTCGCGAGAACCTAAAATCAGGATGTACTCGATTCAATTGTGAATCGAATTGGGATTGAGAATTTGAAATGGACGTGGAGAGATCGTCGCTGTGCAATTGCGTGGTTAATTTCTTGCTGGAAGAAAATTACTTGCTGTCGGCATTCGAGCTTCTCCACGAGTTGCTAGACGATGGACGCGACGATCAGGCAATCCGCCTTAAGGAATACTTTTCCGATCCATCTCAATTCCCTCCCGATCAGATCTCTCGCTTCAACTCCCTTCGAGGTATACTACCTTACATTTGCATACTCTCTGTCTATCTCTCTCTCTCTTTCCGTGCGGTTTTTTTTTTTTAATTTTTATCATGTTTGTGCAAGCACTAACTCATTCTGATAGTAAAACAAAATTCGTGGTGTCATTTGATTACGTTAATGTGATTTTCTCTAAGAATCAACTTGTGGTTTAATATAGTTTTGTCTGATGACAAAATTTCGGAATGTCTTGTTGTCTCTATTTTTTATTTAAACAACATTGTAGATAGATCTAGCTGCTTTATTGTTTTCGGTGTAGATTGATAAACTGTTTGTGCAAGTGTTTCCGACATTTGCACAGGTGCTCGGCTGACAACTAATAGATACTACTTAATAGTAATTAATTTCATGAAAATAAAGAAGGCTGCACATATCTCATTTGTTAGGATTTGTATTACAGTGTATGAAACTAATATGGAACCAGCTTTAACTTTTGACGGCACATAAAAGATGATTGAAGACTCAGAAAAAAAGGGACAAAGAAAAGATTCAATTAATACATGAGAGAAAGTGTCACGTTACTGTTCAATCGCCATATTTAAGTAATCTCACATAACTTCCAGAATTAAGGATTGAGAGAAACCACCATGATTGATAAAGAAAATTTGGAACCATGAAGAATGTATTCTTTTAGTATTTTATCAAGATGCTTAGAAGCATATTCTTTAGCCTAATAGAGCATGCCAATGTGTTACTATGTGGTTTTACGTTACTGAGATTAAGCTAGAAATACTATTTTTAAGCCTATAACTAAAAGCAAAATACATTTTTTGACTTGAAATTGAGTTCTGACAGCAATTCTGTTGCATTCATATATGTGCTCAGGGATTTTAATCCTTGTAACATTTCAAATTTTGTTAATTATCTACCAGATGTAATGATAATTGGGAAGGAGAGAAAGCAATTTGAGGAAACATTAGCATTTTATCTGCGAATAATATATTAAAAGTCAGTTGCAGACGTGATGTGGCAATCCAACAACTTAAAACTCAATATCCTTATTAGTCAAATGATTTAGACTCGATGAGTTCCTTAAAGAATCTCTCAAGTGTTGGAAATCTAAAAATATATAAAAATAGCACTCCATATGTGTTGGATACACGTGTGAGACATGGACACTCTGCCCTATTTGGAGGGTTCGTGCATAAGATGTCAAGTATTCCCTTCAATATTCCAAGTGTTCCCTTCACTGAATATTGATTCAGTCATAATTTGTGGGTTTAACTGGCCAAATTATTTTCACAGGTTCATTTCACATTTCAAATCTTGTGGCATAGTAGTTGTTGACACTTTACATTTGATGGTACAACTGTTAGCAGCTAAATTAAATCTCATAATTCGTCTTGTTTGAAATTTCTGAATTTTGTGATTTGTGTGATATCACGTGTAACCAACTGCCAAAACATTCTTTTTTTTATTGTTTGGTTGGAACAGTTGCGGACCCCCAGAGTCTACTTGAAGAAAAAGAATCACTAGAAGAAAAATTGGCAATCAGTGAATATGAGCTTCGTTTAGCTCAAGAAGATATTCTTAAACTCAGGACTGAGACGCAGAAGAAAATTGAGATTAGCTTGGATGAGTCAAATGGTAATTTACTGAAACTGTATAATTTATCTTATTGTTTAAACCAGGGTTCCTCATGCTAGTATTTTACGCATTCACAGGTTTTTGTGTGAATTACGAGATGTTTTCTCTAAAATCTAATAGATATGGGTGATAAGAGAGACTTTCGGACTTCCTTTTCCCCAATATGAGATCATTTTATATGTTCTTTAGGTTTTGCTAATACATCAGTTTTTGTAGGCTTTCACATGCCTAGTCTTGTCAAGTACTGGGATTTTTATTTTTTTTTCTATTTGTGTATTTACATGCCCAAATCTACTTCACAGAGTTGAAGGTAGATGCTTCTCCAAATCATGAACCAGATTTGCAACCACAGAAAGACATTGCTTTCTCAGATTTGGGACCCCTGAAGGACACTGAACGACAGGATCTGAACTGTGCAGTGAAGGAATATTTACTTTTAGCAGGATACCGCTTGACTGCCATGACATTTTATGAAGAGGTGCTTAAAGCAAAGAGTCTTGTTATTTCCTTCTGATTTATGTTGCGTGCAGTTGAGTTACTTTTTTGCTCTTTAGTCCATCTGTTGTATTTAAGTCTGTTTCTCTCTCCCTCTCCCTCTCCCTCCCTCTCTCATGCCCTATCTAGTAGTTGGTGTAGAATATGTTATTCACAAGAAGCTGCTTTGCTATAACAGAAGCATCTTATGTACTTTGAATGAGAAAATATGATGCAAAGTTCTGATAATCTGATAATAGGATCTGAAAAGTTTCACAAAGTAGACAAGTGCTTTTGTATATGAGGCAAGATGAGAAAAAATTTGGTGAATAAAACTTAATGATCTATGACAGTTCATATGTGGACAACCTGCCACAGAACTTGTCTGTTTCCAGTTGATTATTTCTTACCTATCAGCTAAATACGTTATCCTCACGACCACCGAGGTGAGTACTCGACTTTAAACTTCAGGGCCTCGTGGGATTAGTCGAGGTGTATGCAAGCTGGCCCGGACATACACGGTTATCAAAAAAAATAGAACTTCCGAAATTTTTGTTTCTTGATCTTAGTAGCGTCGATTCAACACTGGAATTTTAAGCTTCTGTCTTTATAGTAACATCTTTCAAATGAAGAATAGTCTGTCAAATAGAGTATGTTCCTCGGGAACATTGTAGTCCCTGTTAAGTGGCCAGTTCAGTGTGATCTTTTTCTAGTGCTGGTCTTCATTATTCAAAAGTAGCTGAGCGCCTGCATCTTATTAGTTGATTGTCTGGATAATTTTCTCTTTAAGAAGTTTTTCACGCGATAGTTGTCTTGGGTGAACATGCTGTTTTTCATGTGCGCATGAACATATTGTTTAACTGTTGTAGTATTTTCTTTGCCTGCATAACAGGTCACTAATCAGAATCTGGATGCATGGAAAAACCCATCTGCATGTGTTCCAGATGCACTGCGTCGTTATTACTACAAGTACCTGTTATCAACAACAGAGGCTGCTGAGGTACTTACTGAATATTCATGGAAAGGGGAACTTTACATTCTTGCTTGAAGTGATGAGAGATGAGTTGATGCAATTTGATAAATTTGAAGCAATTAGTGCTCATCTCCAGAGTATTAGATTCAATCCTACTTCCGCCATCCCTTTTGTTTTGTACTTCTGCTGTAGTCTGTTCTATTTAATTGTCTGTGACTCGAATGATACAGTTTATCTTTGCCGCGTTTTGGTTAATCATTTTGATTTTCCCACTTGGTTAGTTCCAGGTTTTGCTTTCTGATTAGTCTAACTCACTTTGGAGTTGGCAATCAACTCTTGGTGCTCAATTTAACTTGCAGATTTCTAATCATCAAAATTTCAGATGATTTTGAACAGTGACTTTCATGTAATATTAGTATATATTAAGATTCAGGATGCTTTTTTTAAAAAATTTCCAGTGCACTGGATTAAAAAATTCTGAAGCAGTTAGACTTATGTTAGAGAATAAAAATGGTTTAAAAGATTGTCAGGTAGTGATTCTTTAACTTAGATTAGATTCTTGATCCTTAGAGCAACTTGATGTGGCTTCTGCACTTTTTTATTTTTTAGTTTTTTTTCCCTGGTTTTTGAATCTTCATGTAGGGGGGAAATCCCAAAAAATGCTTAATTTTGGTATCCAGTCCCATTGTTGAGTGCGGAAGTACATCCTGTTGTGGCAACTGCACTTGACGTATCACATATTTTTTTAGTATAAGTGCTTGAAAATATTTCTCTTTTAAGTTTCTGAGGACTGTTCAATGCTTAGAGGTTCGAGTAGCATATTCATTTTTGTGAAGGGTGAAATTCAACAAATTGTTCATGCTGCTGGCTGCCATATGCTGCAGGAGAGAATAGGTATGCTTGAACCTTTGCTGAAAGAAAATGATAGGCTGAAAAATGATAACCATTCCTTGCTAAAAAGCAAGGGCGTCTCTGATGCACGAGCCACGGCATTGAAAAAATCCTTGGAGGTTCTACAAAAAGATATAAATGATAAAGAAATTCTGGTAATTTCTTTGAACATTTCTCCAGGATCAGGTTTTCACATGTTATGTTCATTTTTATACAAGTATCTTGTATGTATCTCAGGTCCAGGATTTAAAGCAGACTTTAGAGAGTCAAATGAAAGAACTAAATGGTTGTAGAGCAGAAATAACTTCACTAAAAATGCAAATTGAAGGAGCTTGTTCAGGACGGAATTTGTTGACAAGTGACTCTGCACAGGTAGAATCATCGTCCTCAGAGAATCAGTCTGAAGAAATAAAATTGCTTCAGAATGAAATAGAGAGATTGAAGGCCATACATCTTGTGCCTACTGAATCTGTACAGTCAATCAAGCAAGAGAAAGGGTGTGAAGAGACAGTAGATGAGGTTGATAAATCACAAGTAAATAATTTTTTTCCATCTACAGTTGATGCCTTATCGACAGATTTACTAGGCAACAATACTCAGGTGATGGGTAAATGGGAGTCTGATGTCACAACCAGCAAACCCGAGAAAGTGCCAGGAGGGATACTAACTTCTTCAGACGAAAATACAATTCTTGAAAAAGCTGAAAATTTCCTCAAGCACAATGGAAAACCACCCTCAGAAACTGATGGCTTATTTTCGAAATCAGAAAATCTCGATACTGAATCAAATGCTCAAAAGGTTGGAAGAACTTGTCATGCTTCATAACATTCTAATTGTGACTATTTACCAGCAATTTTCGATTCAAACTAACATCTACAACTACTATTTCCTTGTCAGGGTTTGGGAACTGTTCAGATACTTTCAGACGCATTGCCTAAAATTGTACCATATGTTTTAATCCAACATCGAGAGGTTTGCCACTCTATCTTGGTGTATGTTTTCCAAAATTATCCTTTTGCTGGGACTAAAGGTTACTGCAACTCCTGATTCACTTCTATACTTGTGGTTGTCATGCATGTGATTGGTTTTCTTCTACTGTAGGAGCTTCTTCCTCTGATAATGTGTGCGATTGAGCGCCATCCAGATAGTGCCATGCGAGATTCTTTGACCCATACATTATTTAACTTAATCAAGCGTCCAGATGAGCACCAGAGACGAATTATAATGGATGTAAGATTCTGAAAGTGAAGAAAATAGAATTTAATCTCTTGCAACTTCTTCTGACAATTTTCTCAATAATTTAAGGCTTGTGTTACTCTTGCCAAGAATGTCGGACAGCTGAGAACAGAAACAGAATTGCTGCCCCAATGTTGGGAACAAGTAAGACTGATTGTGACTTTCCTGGCATTGTCATTTTTTCTATTTTAGGAGCGAAGACTAGAGTCTGATTTCTGATTCAATTGCATGTAGATCAATCACATGTATGAAGAACGTAGGCTGCTTGTTGCTCAATCATGTGGCGAGCTTGCAGAATTTGTACGGCCTGAGATCCGTGATTCTCTCATCTTATCTATAGTGCAACAGCTCATTGAGGACTCTGCTGTAGTGGTTCGGGAGGCTGCTGCTCATAATCTGGCCCTGTTGTTGCCACTCTTCCCCAATACTGACAAATATTTCAAGGTCAGCCTCACTAAATATGCTTCGAGGCAATCATGGAGAAGATATCTGACTTGACAGAATTCTATACAATGTAAGCTCCGTGATCCAGGGAATGGAGCATTTCCCCTGGTCATAATATGATAACTGACAAAAAAAGGTTTCTCCAATTCCTTTCTCTTGTTTGTTGATAGGTTGAGGAGATGATGTTTCAATTGGTTTGTGATCCATCTGGTGTAGTTGTTGAAACTACAATCAAAGAATTAGTTCCTCCTCTAATAAATTGGGGAAGCGAGCTGGATCATGTTCTGCAAGTTTTACTCTCTCACATCTTGGGTTCTGCTCAGGTATGGGTGTATAGTCTCTAATTATAGTAATTCTTGCACAATATGTATCTGACATGATGTTTCTTCCAGCGTTGTCCACCTCTTTCAGGAGTTGAAGGATCTGTTGAATCACAACTTCGTGTTTTAGGTGAAAGAGAACGTTGGAACATTGACGTTCTTTTGCGCTTGCTTGTGGAACTACTTCCATTTGTTCACCAGAAAGCTGTCAAGACTTGTCCGTTTTCATCAGAAGTTGCAGATTCCACAGGAATATCATTTACTGTGTCTTTGCTTGAACACTATGCAGGGTAAGCTTATCTAGTGGTCTTCCTTACTGCCTCTTTTAACATGAACATCTATATAAACGTATCCTTTTTATGGATTAGCAGTGTTTATTGTTTGCAGTTGGTGCTTATATATTAACAATTTTTGGTCAGGGGACTTGTGGAATGGCCTACTTTTGAGTGGCTTCATATTGAATGTTTTCCCAATTTGATTCGGTTGGTTTCTCTATTGCCCCAGAAGGAAGATAATTTAAGAAATAGAATTACCAAGGTACTTTGGTCACCCTAGGATTTTTATTTCGTTGATTTGTTTTCATGTCATCTCCTTATTTTCTTTTTCTCTGTGATGTTTCTTTCTTATTTTCTGAAATATTCAAGGTTTGGTAATTTCTACAGATTTTGCTGTCGATAGCTCAGCAGTTTGGGGAATCTTATTTGACACACATCATGCTTCCCGTGTTCTTGGTAGCAGTTGGTGAAAATGCTGATTTCAAATTCTTCCCATCCACTGTGCAGTCGAGAATAAGAGGCAATGGTTTACTGAAAATTTACCAATACTGGTATTTAATAATAAAGCTCTTATCTTATAGGCATTGTTTCTTCCATCATGACAGGTTTGAGACCCCAAACTTTAGTAGCCGAGAGACTTGCTACAATGTGTGTCCTACCAATTCTGCTGGCAGGTGTGCTAGGACACCCAAGCAAGCACGAAGAATTGACCCAGTACTTGAGGAACCTGTTGGTTCGAAGTTCTGGATTGGAAGGTCAGCCAGCAAAGCATGAGATTGTCAATTCTGTCCGCTTTATTTGGTTGGTGTAGTCGGATTATTTTTCAAATCATTGCAATTATGTCATCACGTTATTCATGTATTAACTTGTAGTATTTCCACGATGCAGCATCTTTGAAGAACATCACAGTATGATATTTAGCATCCTTTGGGAATTGGTTGTGAGTTCTGACATGGATTTGAAAATCAGTGCAGCCCATTTTTTGAAAGTCATCGTGAGTCCATTTTACTTCTAAATATCAGTCATTTCCTTTTAAATTTATGGTTGCCTTGAATACTGTGATTTCTTGGTCTCTTAGGTGCCATATATAGATGCAAAGGTTGCCTCAACTCATGTATTGCCTGCTCTTGTAACTCTTGGTTCTGATCAAAACCTAAATGTAAAATATGCCAGCATCGATGCTTTTGGAGCTGTAGCTCAGCATTTTAAAAGTGACATGGTATGTAAATTTAGAATCAAGGTTTTGCTGACTGGGTGGAGCTTTTATATATCAGTTGACTGAAAAATGTTTTCTGCTAGATTGTTGACAAGATACGGATTCAAATGGATGCTTTTCTTGAAGATGGATCAGTTGAAGCTACCATTGCTGTGGTTCGTGCACTGGCTTTGGCTGTACCACATACAACAGATAGGCTTCGAGAATATATCCTTGAACCTTTTTATTGGTGGTTCTTATTTGTTTCCATTTGGGTTTTTATTTCAACAATTAGGAATACACTTCTTTCAATTATATTCCTACTAGTGAAGTATTTGTTTCTTTAACTGTGCATACATCTCTTGTCCAAGATTTTTCAATTTACGGCCTCACCAACCCCTTCAAATGATTTATTGCGCCGGAGGGAAAGAGCAAATGCCTTTTGTGAATCCATTCGTGCTCTTGATGCAACAGGTTTGCTTCTTTCTGAAATCTTTTATTGCTGTGCACACTTTTAGGCGGTTGGACTCTGTCGGTGCTTATTGATTTTGTTTCTTTCTGCAGACCTTCCTTCTTCCTGTGTTAGGGATTTCCTCTTACCAGCAATACAGAATCTATTGAAAGACTCTGATGCTCTCGATCCAGCACACAAGGAAGCTCTTGAAATAATATTGAGGGAAAGATCAGGTGGAACATTTGATACTATTAGTAAGGTGATGGGTGCTCACATCGGGCTTGCATCATCTGTTACCAATTTCTTCGGTGAAAGTGGGTTTCTGGGGAGAAAGGAAAGTGATGAACTAGGACCGTTACCACCAGAGACAATCGAGTCCCCGAAGCCTGTTCCACAGCCCGTAGTTGATGACACGAGATTTAGGCGGATTATGAGGGGTGGTTTTACAGACATGCTGCGGGGCAAAACTAAGAGCAATGAGGAAAATTCCCCGAGCCATTGAGAAGGAATGGGAAAATAAGAAGAGGGGAAATACGGTTGTGTAACAATCCTGTGGTCAGTTTGATTCTGTTTTAATTTTTGTAATAGCATAGCAGTTTTTTGTACTTTTCCCATGACCAGTTCGGAAATTTTGGGATGGTGCATCTTCTGAATGACAAGCAAAAAATAAGAAAAATCGAGAGAATTCATGCATATTTAAGGAAAAACTTCTGTTTTTTTAATCTGTATAAGATGCCTCTTCTACTTGGAATGTCTTGCAGATCTTTATGCTTGGGAGTGTTTTCTTCCAGCATTTGTGTCCCCCCATGCCCAGAATCTATTTTTAATAGTCGCTTGTTTTTACATTCTATTACAAGAATCACCGAATCAAGGTAGACCCAGAATTTTGTTAGGGGAATACTATGGCTTTAAATTTTTTTAGTGCAGAGAAAATATAGTTGTTCATTTGGTATAACTTTTGAAAAGCCAAAAGAGCTACTTTTGGACCTATTTGACTAATTTTATGAAAGTGCTCTGGTAATTAAAAGATTTTTCTAAAGAAAGTTAGTTCAATGTGACTTCCTCTAAAAGCACATCCAGAATAGTGATTTTAAAAAGAATAATACTATTTTTAATTGTGATGATGGAATATAGGTGATATAACAGCCTATGTGGAATGATGGAGACTTGAAGTGTGTGATTGTAAAGAGGTATCACTTGGCATTTAATCCGGTATTGATTGCGCTTACCAACACACCGTCTCTATTATTGGACACACACTCTCGAGGACCATTAATGGGCCGTTTCATCCATTGGGACCTTTTCCTATGCACACTAGCACGTGTTTGGCTCATGTTTATATATGATCTATAAATGTTGAAGTCGTTTCTCTATTCATTTTAAGGGATCCACAAATGATATCCACTTGTTTGCTGGTGGTTTCTATGTATTTATAATTGAGTAATGCTATTTAATTCTATTGGGATTACAACTCCAGTCTAGGTGGTGTAAATATTTATCAATGAGGCTAAATAGCATTATTTTTTATAATTTAAACAATTTATTAAACACTTTCACAAACATGGTTTATCGAGTCATCTATTATGCATCAGACCAAGTGTTCTATAAATTGCAGGACATTTCTTCATTCCAGAATATAGCAATTGCATAACTATATTGCCTGATTCTCTCTATTTCTGTATTACTCTTTTTCTCGTCCATACCATCCTCCATTTTGAAGATGAAGAAAGCAGCTAGTTTTGCATTCTGCTTGGCAGTGGTGGTTCTGTTTGTTTGCAAATTGCATGTGACGGTGGCTATCGATTGCAGCCCACTGGAGCTGAGTTCATGCCTGGGGGCAATAATGTTGTCTTTACCTCCGCCGGATGCATGCTGCAGCAAGCTGAAGGAGCAGGAACGTTGCCTGTGTGAGTATATAAGAAATCCAAGCCTGAGTCAATATGTTAACTCTCCCAATGCCAGGAGGGTTGCTAACATCTGTGGTGTGCCCACTCCTATATGCTGATCTGAAAACTTCACCTGAAGTGTTACAGTGCTACATTATCAAAGCATGAATGGATTTGGTGGCGTTGTAACTCCATAACTCATCTCATAAAATGGCTTTGATTTATCCTTTTCTGTTTTCAGTTAATACTGTGTGTTGACGTTAGAAACTATATTGAGAAATATATAGGGCTAGTTTTCAAAATAATTTACTAAGTTACATCTATGTACAATGAGTTCCGATGCATATGATTTTTATTAATTGTAGCTCTTATGCATAGGAATACGACAATGGGGGGTTTGTTATTGCGGTGATACCAAATTCAAATCCTGCCTCCCCACTTTCTCTCTCTGTCCCTCTGATTGACATGTATATTGTTGGAAAAATAGCTTCCATGGAGCGGGTTTTGGTATCATCAAATATCAAAGTTGATTCGTGTTTTCTTTCGTGAGAACATCAAAATTATATATTTACTTATCAAAAATGATGTTTGAGCGAACGAAAAATGGAGTTCAAAGTGGATTAATTGGAAGAGGTTTATATGTTACGAGGGAAAATATTTTTAATTTGTCTCACATAGAAATATTGAGGCAAAAACTAGTTTATATGATCACAATTTTGGACGGTATAATCTTGTATAGTATAGATGCTCTCTTTACGTGCGCGTGCAGGGGTGCAAATCATGGATCGAATTAGCACCTTGAACATTGAACATGTATGCAAGCAGAACTTGCGTACACGAATGTCGTATCACAATTGATTTCTGTTGGAAGAAAATGGGTCACCTATGTGGGCTAACTCGACCCGACCCGACCCACATTGTATGAGAGGGTTATTGGAGGGAGAAGTTGAGGAACTTGAGTAAATTGAATTTGAAATTCAACTCCCTACAACCCACAACTCCCATGTAAAACTTCCACCACAAAAAGAATATTGAAAAAGAGAGATACAAAATTCGTATGGAAAAAATAGAGAGAAAAACACATGAGGGTGGTGGCTTGATTTTGGAAGTATATTATCTCTAAATTGGTTCTTGGATTGTGACTATCAAATTCCTTCATTTGTGATCGAATTTCTAACCAAGGAGTGAGTACAAAATAGTGTAGAAGACAAAGAAACAAAAGGCAAGTGATTCAATCTCGTTTTGGTGATTTCAAGTAAATTTTACAATTTGAATTTCCGCTAGAAGCATGCAAGCATGTTTTACAATTTCTTAGTAGGATCCACATTTTGCCTTTAATTTCTATTTATTTTCTTGAAATTGGAAACTCATGTTCATTGCCTTTTAATAGAAAGATTAAACAATCGAGTTAATGATGGTATTAATGGTTGTAACACCTAGAACTTCCAATCTGATAAGTCACCCATTAGAACCTTTTATATAGGTCGATTTTTTCCTTTGTTCCACACGAAAATTCTCATCTCCTTTCCAAATTTCTTTCTTATCAGAATTTTTCACTTTTTGTCTAAAATTTTGGTGATAATTTGGATCAAATTTGTGCATTGATGTAGAAACTTAAGTGCTCGGTCTTTACTAGTTTCTCTGTATATCAAGAGAGACAAATACTCAAACAAAATCTCAAGCACTTTCGGTGAAGTGGTGGACCTGTATTAAGAACACTATGTAATACACGGGTCTCAATTTGCAAATTTGTTCCCTTTTTATCAATTATTATTTTCTCCAAATTTCGATTACTATTATTTTCTTTTGTAATTAATAAAATATTTTATATGTCAATTTTTTTCTCACGTATATTCCTGATGGAAACAATATGCCTAAGGAACGTGATTATCCTGGACTCTTAAATGTGAAAATAATACTACAAAAATTAAGACAGAAACACTGAATTACCGAGTCCTAGAAATGCATGAGTGGTAGGCAATTATAATTTAATTACTTCTGTACATATATTCTTTTTATCCACACAGTTTGTAGAAACTAACAACTGTACTTGTTGGCTCCCGGGGTACAGTTCAGTGGTGTAAAGGACAGGAGTGAGATAATCTCAACTGAGCTGGCAGTCGCAGTGTGAGAGTTCGATTTCTGCCTCTTACAAGGTATGGAATTGGATTTTTGTGGGCACCAGTATGTCAACTCTTATACTCTCGCCTGTTGAGACACATCCCGCGATTTACCTCCTTCACAATACTCTAGGGACGGGACAGTGGGGGGCCCTCAAGGTTGGGGTTCAACCTTTAACAACTGTACTTGTTAACATATTCATAGAATTCACAATTTATAATCACTTATATTTTGAAGTAATAGCCTGCCAAACATGCATTAAATCAGTTAGTTGAATTGGGACCATTTCCTATGCACATTAATTGACGTGTCCCAAATTTTAGCTCCCATTGTTCTATAAATTGTAGTTTAATTCTTCACTCCAAACTACATCAGTTACATGACTTTCTTGCCTAATTCTCTCTATTCCTGCATTACTCTTTCTCTAGTCCATACCATTGTGCATTTTGAAGATGAAGAAAGCAGCTAGTATTGCACTCTGCTTGGCAGTGGTGGTTCTGTTGCTAGGTGAATTGCACGAGACAGAGGCGGTTAATTGCAGTCCACTGGAGCTGAGTTCATGCGCCGAAGCGATAATGATGTCGCTGCCTCCCTCGGGTGCCTGTTGCAGTAAGCTGAAGGAGCAGGAGCCTTGCCTTTGTGGGTATATAAAAGATCCAAGCCTGAGTCAGTATGTTAACTCTCCCAATGCCAGAAGGGTTGCCAGCACCTGTGGTGTGCCCACCCCTAAATGCTAATCAGAAACTTCACCTGAAGAGTTGTACTGCTACGTTATAAGTAGTATGGATGAATTTGCAGGCTGTGTATCATCGTAACTTATATAATAAAATGGCCTTGATTTATCCTTTTCCTGTTGTTGCTTGAAATTTGCATCTTTTACGGATGTCCATTTCTTCTAATTTTATGCTAACCGATGAGTTACTGTAACTCTCTTTATTTACACCAAGATTGACTGAGGACTCATTTGTCAAGACTTTTGAAAAGTCAAAAGGAGCTTTTAAAATCTAAAAGTTGATTTGGGATCTATTTGACTAATTTTGTGAAAGTGCTTCTAGTCGTTAGAATTTAGAAAAACTTTTAAAAGAAGTTGATTCCATTTGACTTCCTCTAAAAACACTTTCGAAATAGAAGTGCTTTTGAAAATTAGTTTCCTTCGAAAGCTCTTATACAGTAAGCAAAAGCTATATAAAACGGGCTCTAAGTAGAAGCCGAATTTTCTATCTATAATTCTTACTTTGTTTTTAGGTCTCTAATTTCCCATTTTTGAGATAGTGAAACAAGTCAAAGAAAAGGACTAATATCCCACTCTTGAACGCACTTGCCTGCTTTTTCATACAGATTTATTACGTCCTCCCACGTTCGCTTCTGCGTATTTCTGTTTTTGTTTCCTCATTTTACTCTACTGTCAGGTGATGAAAATGAACATTATAGAAGTTGAGGAAATCTGTTCAAATGGGGAAAATCACTGGCATTGATTACCCTATCTGAGGAAATAACAGGCCTCGGGAATGCTGTTACCCCGACCTCAAACTTGAATGTGATAAACTTAAGAGCTCTTACAAATTAGTCTATATTTTGGTTTTAACCGATGTGGGACTTAATCAGAGAACTTAATGGACTTTGATACCATATTAAGACTTGTGGTCTATCCTTAAAAGGTCAACCTTATTAAAAGGAGTTATAAGTTGATCTATATTTCGGTATTTAACCGATGTGGGATTTATCTCTTTACAATAACGACACTGCAATATTTAAGACAGAAATACGCTGGTTCTAAGGATCACTTGGATGGAATTCAAGGCCCTGGAAAATGCAATGCAAGTGTAGTGGTTCCAGTACTTGTGAATGCTGGGGATGGATATGGAGCTAGAGGATTCGTGAATTCTACAAAGTTGGATCGAGGCATCCAGCAGCGTTTTGAGATCAGAAGGAAGATGGACGACAAAGATTGCAATGAATGCATTGAATCGTAGGGACGATGTGGATTTAACTTTGCAGCAAATCAAACAGCTAGCTTTTTCCCTGATCAGCCATGCATTTCGGCAACCTGCTCAGGGACTAATGGAGCTAGATCGTCTTCAGATGCACATTTCTTTCTTTTCTATTCCTTTATTCTTTCAACATGAGGAATTAGGGCTTATTCGTAGTGTGTTTTGTCCACCAGTGGTTACAGGATCCCAAAGTTCGACTACTAACTAGCATTATGAAAATGGAACCATCACGTATGAGACTAAGATGATATGAACACATGGTATAATGAACAATTAGATATTGACTTAATGGATCAGAGATTAACCATTTTTTCCATTAACGGTTGGTGAGTGATTGCTGGAACAAGGTGAAATTTTGACAGCTCAATTTACTGCAAGTAAATGTGAAGTGGAGAAATTCTGTCTTAGAAGAAGTTGG